ACGACAGACAATCACTCATATGAAAAGCTCTGCTCGACAAAGTCGACAGCGGAGCTAAAAATTGGCTGCTACAATCAGCCAACGTCTTCTCGGTCAGAGGTCAGTTGAAGAGATGTTGTGATTGGCTTAGATGATTGTTGATTAGAACACTCATTAACCTAATTACCAGTTGAAAAATCGACAGGTTCCTGCAGTGTCGATAGATGGCCATGCAGAATAAACCAGTCGGGGTTATTTCACAGTTATAGGGGATTTCGCGCTAACACCTCCATTTCGCAAAATTGTTTATTTTATTTAAACTACAAAAACAAATTAATCGCCCCGACTGCACCAGTCTAATCATTTCCCTGCAGCTTCAAATCCAGTTTCAATGACATTATTCTGCTGCTAAATGTGCGGTTCATCACTAAGACAGCAAAATATGCAGTGAAATATGCCTTTTCATAACAATACCAAATACGGCGGGTATTAAATGTATAGAAGTGTGCTACAAAGAGTTGACAAGCTGTATAATCTGTTTAATTTTACAGAAAATTATTCACCAGTCAATGTTGTTTAGGTTGCCTAATGGCTACCTAGATATATTTCTTAAGGGCCATCACATACATTTAACAGCAATGGTGACCAAAAAGATTGTAATCTAGAATAGTGATAAATATTACAGGTTTTGAGGATTACATCGCATTTATAAAAATGAAGCGCACACAATACATCCAATACTGATAAACAATACAACATTCAAGGGATAATTGTGCAGATCCTATCTGCATTGTTTCTACCTGTTTATCACTTGAGTCGAGGTATTCCAGATAGTCTTCAAGGCCTAAAAGAACAAAATTCAATGCATTGTAAGCAGGTGAATATTTTACTTATACAGTAGGTATAATTCAACACATACATGAGTACGGCTCCAGAGATAAACTATTTTATACTACCGGTAATATAAAACACTGATTTTTCAATAACTTATGAATACAAATTTTAGACGAAGCAAGCGCCTCGTATTTCCTAATTGCACACCATTCCCAAGAGTTTAGACAACCATATTTAACTTTTCACCACTTGCCCAAATTTTTCTGCACTTTTTTCTTATATTCTTCAATATTTATGGAATTGAACCCTAATTTTGGAACCCACAAACAAAATTAGAGTCAATTTTCAGTTTTTACTCAAAAAATTTGGCTATTTTTGTCCCAATCTTTTGAAGGAAAGTGCAGACTATAAACAGAACTATTTTGTGAATTTGTGATGAAAAGAGGGAACTGGTGGTGAAAAGGCTAAACTACATTTCTACAGCTTTCGCAGACCATAGTGTACATGCAAATTATATTCTGAAACAGGGTTTGAACTTCACAGTGGTATTAAAAAGAATTGATAAGACACAAAATAAGTTTGTCTCTGTGCCTTTCAAAAAATACTGATATTCCCATGGGTATTCCTATATGATAAGGCAATGTTATCAAATTTGAACCTTGAAACTAGATGTCCTCTCAACTCTCAACAAGTTCAAGTTCAATCCGGATTTCTATTATGTATTACCTGGAATATCTGATAAACCACTGTCTCCATTAGCAACCTCACCATTTCTGTCTAAGCCATCTAATATCTCTAACTGAGGCACAGAATTAATAACACCGGAACGATATCCTGTGAAATATGAATTGTTAAGACATGAAGGTTTAATTAGTTGTAACAGACATTATGTATCATACATTGGTATTATGATGGGGACTGAGATAATGCTGATTATCATTTGAGGATACATACCTGGTAATTGACATACTGGATTACCTCTCCCATCATGCATCAGTGTCAGGTGACTTAAACGGATACAGCCAACTACGCACTCCACAAGATGGTTGACAGATTGTATGTGATTGCCATGGAGATTAAGGTGAGTCAGTTGATAGTTTGGTCCATGCAGTTCCACTAAGCCGCTGAGATCGGAAATCTGATTATAGGAGAGGTTCAGTTTCTTTAAGGATCTGAAAGGCAAATGGTGTGCATGTTACAACTACATGTATGTATGTATGTATATATCTTGGTAGCAGGATTTTATAATTTCACAATCTCCATAGCACATGAAGTACCTATACATGTAATATCAAAGCAATTGGACTCGCGGTTTTCAACAAGAAGTTGAAAATATCACTTTTTACCAAAAATTACAAAAATATTCATCAAAATTAGAGAATTGAAGATGTCGACACAAAATCAACAAATCTGACAGAGGTCCACCTGATGTGCCTACATATACGATATCAAAGCAATCAGAATAGCAGTTTTTGAGAAGTCGAAAATATAATTTTTTACCAAAAATGACAAAAATATTCATCAAAATTATAGAAATGAAGATATCATCACAAAATGAATAAATCTGAGAGAAGTCCACTCAAGGTACCTACATATTAAGTATCAAAGCATTTGAGCTAAAAGTTTTCAAGAAGAAGTCGAAAATAGCATTTTTGACCAAAAATGACAAAAATATTGGCTATAAATAAGACAATTGAACATATCCACACAAAATGAACAAATCTGAGAGAGAACCACCCAAGATACCTTCCTAGAAAGTTTCACAGCTATACAGTGAGTTTGTGGTTTTTAAGAAGAAGTCGAAAATGTAAAGTTGACGACGGCGACGACGACGATGGACAATCAGTAATACTATAAGCTCCGCTCGACTTCGTAGACAGCGGAGCTAATAAATAAACAAATTATTAACCTAATAAATGTCCGATTAAAATCCGATGTAGGTATTGGCTTTATTTATCTATTTTTTATTGCTTGTTTTCTTTATTATGACAATCGTTGTAACTTGCTGTTATTAAGTTTTTATTACATATTTTCTCAGTTGTTGAAGCCTATACCTACATTGGGTTTTAATCAGATTGGGTAACTACCAGTTACTGCATAAAAATTAAAAGATATCTGGCTGGGCAACATGCAACATGGTCCTTCGATATGTCACTCACCCGAGGGCAGAAAGTCCCTTAATAACACATATTCTATTACAGGATACATTAAGAGTCTTCAGGGAATGCAAACTCTCTAATCCTTCAAGCTCTGTGATCTGATTGGAGGACAGATCAAGATGTTTCAACGTCCTGAGATGGTGAAGATTTTCGATTTTTGTGATGTGATTATAATGGAGGTTCAATGTCTGCACGTGGCCACCGAGGGGGACATCTCGCAGACTGTAAATATTAGCATCAATCAAAACAACTTCATGAGGTGTGTTTAGGTCCACGATGTCTTCTGATAAGCCAGTCAATTTAACAGCTAAGCCTTTTCTTTCCATCTTTGTGAGCGCACCTGTCACAGAGAAAATAATAACAAACTTTTATGTAACAGTCGTAAATATTAATCCTAAGAACCATGTTTTTAGGAAAAATTTTTGACGACATCTGAAATAGCAATAATTCCCTTGTTCCAGTGTATACATAGTGAAGGAGAGAGTACATCACCTAACTTGAGGAAGTTTGCTACCATTACAAAAAATTCTTAAATTCCATCAAGAGAGTTTGGGTTACTGTAATTTTCAAAAATCTTAAATGAAAATACATGTATATGATCACCGAACTAAGTTTTCCACAAAACGACTTTGAATATTGGTCAAAATTCTTTGCAATTGGTTTTTATGACAGAAACGTTCAATCATATCATATATAATGTATCTGAACAATTTGTTTGGTGACCTATGTTAAAAAATGATTTGTAGTGTTATGAGGGCTATATATGACTGTCACGAAAAATCAGAGAATTTTGAATATTTGTTTACTGTAAAATACTTTATTTTCGCTTGGAATTAATTTTCGCTATTTTTGCTGAAGGAATGATTCAGTGAAAATAAAATCTAGCGAATATACATTTTTTCCTATATTTTACAAAAATTTTTACTCGCCAAAAATCAATTGAAAATAAAATCCATACAAAACACCCAAAATGCCTTTTCAGCGAAAATTAATTCCAGCTAAAATAAAGTACTCTACAGTAAATTATCCATGAAATAATGTGTTTACATGGAATTCTATGGAAAATGTTTTAAAATGGCCGATTTTTAGATTATTTTGCATGTTTTCTTGGAAACACATCCTTCTTTCTTCGTAAAAATGTTAAACATGAATGACCTGCATGTATGTAATTTTTGAATGATTTACTGTGATCAATTTTTTACATGTTTTATGATAGTGAACTACCTTAAGTAGTATGTATAGTCATACATATACTAAAGAAATGAAAAAAAGCCTAATTATTCAGCTCTTTATCTTCGCATACTATTTTACTGATAGCTAAATTTTATAACAGTATCGTGTATGTATCATTCCAGTAAACCTGCATGAGTCACTTGTAATTTAAACATCAATACAACTTTTATCAAACTTGGGATATTGTCGGCTCACCTGTCTAGCATTTCTTATTCGCAAGTGGTCGACAATATCCTGAAATTCCTGATGTTTGATAAAAGTAGTTTTATGTCTTTATGTTACAAATGACTGTGACCCTAGGTTTTATATTAGCCTTCATGGGTTTGGATATAAATGTGATAGTTATATACAATGTATATATAAAATATCTTTTTGAAATGTAGTCTTGTACTCCATTGGCTAATATCACTGATTTTTCGTCAGTTATTTATATTAATTGGTTCCCCAGGCATCTCTAATAAATAAATCTTATTGGTCAATAACTCAAGTTCAAATTTCTGTTCTTTGTCACATGATGTCAATCCATTTTTGACAAATACTAGTATATCACTTCACACTTTCTTCTGTGTTTTCATATTAGCACCCACTTTACGCGATAAATACCTCCAAGCATTTTCTTCTAAATGTCTAGTACAAAGTACTTGATTTGATTCAGGGACACATCGTTTCACTGCTTCTTCATTCGTCTGACCCAGTAATAATATTTGAAAACTGTGTCGCGTTAATGTCCCCTGATAGCTTGCATTGAAGATGTGAAAAAAAATCGATGATATGTCGTATAAAGTCCGTCCCAGGATAGGTAAATAGCAGCTAGCATAATTGGACAATTATTTGTCCCTTTCCTGATTAGATTATTGTCAGTGATGATAGACTAGAGTGGTTGCAAAACAAGGTCCGAGGTTAAATGTCCTGTCAATTCCAAGAACGCTAAGATGTGTCGTCGGTGTACAAAATTGTTGAATGTCTTTAAGATTTTCTTTCAGGTAAAGTATTACGGATGCTGGCTTTCCTTTTGCCTGTACAATTTCATGAATTTCAGACAAGAGTGATTCGATGACATATGCTACATTTTTTCTGTAGTGTTCGTTATCTGGTCGATTGCGTCTCATAGCAAAGTACTTTGCATATTTAACTTGTTTCAAATCCCTTAGGGCACAAGTTGACCCATCAAGAGCCATTTCTTCATATATGTGGTGTGTTGGTTTTTCTTTAATCATGTCATTGAGCCATTGTTTCAAGTTGCGAGATGTTCGTACGTATTCAGCAGTATTTTTTTTGCTGTTCCCGTGAGGCACAGAAATTTTTGGATATTTGCCAATGTATTCAACAACTGCAGTTTTTTAATATTGGTCTACTACATGCACAGTTCAAATGCGTTTTTTAAATGCTGGCTCTCGTTTTAGCAAAATGTAATACTGTTTGTTTCCAACTGGTTGGGCGTCGTCGGGAACACGTTTGCCTTTTATGTCCTTCACATATTGTCTGTTTTTTTGTCAACATAAATCAAATTTTCCCCGCATACAATGTAATGATGTGTTTTGCAAGAAGCTTTATTAGACAAAGTTCCACAGTCATCGATGTAAAAAGCTTGTTGTCCCTTTGCTTGCCTCGTATTATTGTCCTCATTATCAATCACAAATAAAATGTACTCCTTATACCCAATGTTATTGTCTTGCCACATGGTCGCTCATTTTGAAAAACTTTTAGCATTTTTAGCTGAGTATAGTTTTGATCAGTCGAATTTCACTCTTGAATAGCCGAATATCGGTCCTGGGCAGTCCCATTTCGACCCGGGCAGTAATTTTTAGGACTGTTACCGCAACTGCATGCACTTTAGCAAACAGTGCAGACTACGCTGTCCTTACTGATTGTCTGATTTTAATCCGCTGTTAATGACAATTTAATTTAATGTTAATGTCAGTATTAAATAGTTAAAATTTCTTTTCATTTTAAATACCTTCTCCTTTATATTATTAATATTATCACTTTTATTTAATGATATTTTATCTACTCGTTCACGATGTCATGCGTTATTATGTCCTTAATTTATGAAAGGTGCTCGGTTTACTCATTGACAAATCGAAACATAACAAACATATGTTTTATTGTTAAAACAAGTACTTTGCTATAAATGGTTGATTTTTGTGTGGTTTTTTGGCGAATAAAATTCCGCTAATAACTGAACCCGGAACAAGTGTTGACACGACTTTTTTGGTGCATCGATCGGTCATCGATCACGATCGGACCAAACACAATCTCTGTAAACTGAAAGAAACTACTGTTATAAAAACAGTGACATGGTTGTATAAAAAAACTTACCTCAAACGAATGGGCTGAATTAGTAGAGCCCGGAAAAGTAAACACACGATTTCTGCAATTTCCAAACAACTATTTCAAAAATGGCGCCGTCGTTTGTTCGCTGTTAGTTTCCTCCTTCACCGATTAAATTATTTTGCCTTTAATACTTTTGCAGTGGGAAATGTGAAATATAACTGACCGAGACAATTTGTCATGAGAACTAATAAAGAATTCAACAGAATGCAACTATATGTTAACGGTTAAAAAAAAATGACTTGCCAAAAATGAAATTGAAAAACTTACGTTTTGAACAGAGAGGGCGCTTTCGCATTCGGTACCCACTAACAAGAAGAACAGAATGAAAAAATGTATTTCTTCTTCAATAGTATACATATTTTAAAATTGTCGTCTATGGTCGTGTGTATCTACCTATTTTAGTATTATGGGTGCGTGTCCTAAATTTGCCTAACCATATTCGGTGTTTAAAATTTGTAAATGGTAACAATAGTTTTTTTTTTTTCAAACAGTTGTTCATAGTTTACTTTTCTTTTTTTGTAGTTTATTTTCGCCAAGTTCAATGTTTGTCTGTTTTAAATTGTTTGTTATTACATTATTTTCATTCTTAGTGTTCATTCTTGGCTAAATAATTCCCTTGTTAATTTATGGCTAATTATATGTTTTTCGCAAAAATATTTTAGAAGTTCGCATATCCGCGAAAAAACAAAAAAACAAAAACAAAAAAAGGTGTACTTTTTAAAAGACGTTCAGCTACTTATAGTTCAAGTGAGGAGGATACGACAAGAAGAAAGTGTGTTGACTGCGAGAAACCTTGTTGTTGTTGTTGTTGTTGTTGTTGTTGTTGTTGTTGTTGTTGTTGTGAAAGTTCACCCTGAACCAAAACACATCAAGAGCAGAGACGTCCGAACAGTACGAGAAGACAGCGTATCTTCTTGGCAATTGTCTATATGATTTGTTTACTAGAAACTTTATGTTTATTAATTTTCTTTTCCTTTATTAATTAATTATAGGATTATAGTTTCCGCTTTAACTCCAAAGCATCTCTCAATTTCAGTGAATTTATTCGCAAATACAGCATGCAAAAGAATTACAAAGTGAATTGCGCCCTCTCTGTTATATGCTTAAAAATAAATGATTTCATGCTTGCAGTCTATACGGTGTTTTAGCGTGCGTTGTTATCGTCTCTTGGGACTCAATTTCCGCACATGCGCAGGTGAAGACCCCCTCCTGAATAATGTGTTTAGTTCGCCATAAATTATAATCGAACTCCACAAAGCAGTTGGTGTTTGGTTTGTCGTACCTGTCAAGATATGTATAAATACAGTTGAACATTGTCATGTATTGAATTCTTTTCTAATTGAATGAAACACCAAACTACGACTTTATGTAACAAACAAAATTAAACAGACACACAGAATCTGTTTTCACATTAGCAATTAGACACATTTGGTTATGGTGTAAATCAGAAAAAAACAGCAAGGAAGTCATTATACGCAAAAAAATAAATCTTTTGTTACAGCATAATGACCAGTTAGGGCGTTATTAGGAATTAATTACTGAACATAGGGGGCCTAAAAAATCCAGTGCCGTAACAATTTAATATTGTATTAACACTCTATCCCGTAAATTCAATATTTTCTGAAGGTAGGGTTTTGTATATTTTGAGTCAATGTGATTTGCATGTCACGTTCCATTTGTATAAAAAAATGCTACGCGAAATGTTTCGTTTTGAATAAACTTAATTCGAAAACGTCCTAGTGCCAGTGTCGTAGTAATG